TTCTGGAGGCCAGGAAGTCCAAAATCAAGGTGCATGCAGATTGTGATGTGTGATGAGGGCCCACTTTCTGCAGTGTTCTCATATGGTATAAATGGCCAACCAGCTCTCTGGGTCTCTATTTTAAGGGCACTAATCCCATTGATGAGGTCTCAGCCTCCCGACCTAATCACCTGTCAAATATAAAGGCCCAGATCCCATTCCTGAGGGGTCTTCATGACCTCCCACCTCCTAATACCATCACCTCCAGGGGGAGGCTTCCCACATACGAATGGGGGTCAGGGTTGGGGGTGAAAGGACACAAACATTCCAGCCAAGTAGTAGCAATGTCTTAACTGTCCTAGGGGAAGACCCCAGCGGAAGCAGAGTGGATTCACTTCTCCTTACTCTCTCACCTGAGGACTTGAGTCTTCTGAACCAGAAAAATGAAGAGGCGGCAGCAGCGGCAGCATTAGGGAGGCAAAGACAGGACAGGGGAAGGAGGGGGAAAAAGAATTTGTGTCCCTGAACTAAGGAAAATTGGAAGCAGGGAGAGGCACATTCTTTGCTTACTCATCACTTTCTTGAACAGAAAGGGAAATTAAATAGAAAGAGTGAAAACAAAGTTCTCCAGGCGAAACCACCGTGGGCCTGCCTTGGGGAGGGGAGGGAGCAGAAGAACTAAGCTAAGGCTGGCCCAGGAGGTGGGCAAGTGGCTCCTCTGGAATACAGGCAGTTACAAGGGTGACACAAGGCACACGTCTCCTCTGGCCTGCTTTTTTTTTAAAAGATTTATTTATTTACTTGAAAGGCAAAGTTAGAAAGAGAAAGAGAGAGAGAGGGATCTTCCATCGTTGGTTTCCTCCCCAAATACCCCAAAATGGCCAGGAGCTTCTTCTGGTCTCCCGTGAAGGTGCAGGAGCCCAAGCACTTGGACCATCTTCTGCTTCTTTCCCAGGCACATTAGCAGGGAGCTGGATTGGAAGCAGAGCAGCCGGGACAGGACCCAAATGGGACACCAGCGTCTCAGGCAGTGGCTTTGTTAGGAAAAGAGGTACAGGAGAGCTAGGCCACAACACTGGCCCCTGGGCTGCTTCTTAAACAAACTCTTTCTGCCCCTGCACAGGAGCCCTGAGGCACAAGGGAAGCTCACGGAGTCATCTGGTTCGTTCTCGGTCTGCTTACCCCCTTCCATGACCTGCCTCGAGCTTCCCCTACCCTGCCCCAGCTGACTTCCACGGCCCCTCTGTCCCAGCTTCTGAGGACCAGGCACTATTCTGGACACTCGGAGTCCACCCTCAAGAGACCACTGGAGGCGCTGTGTTGACACTGCCGCTGTGGTCCCATTTTCTGAACCGGAGGCAGGCGCCTCACCCAGTGTATACAAGTGCACTTGTCAGGACCACAAACGAGAAAGCTCAAATCAGACCTGGGCTCAAGGTCCTGGGCCTGTAAATTCTGGGGCCTGGGGAGCAGAGAGTGAGCGAAGGCTCAGCCCCTAGCACGGAGCCCTTCCTTGTCACCCTGCTGAAGGGGGCAGTATTTCATGGTTTCTGTCTCGGTCGTCATTGTTCCTTGGCAGAAAAAGCCCTTTCCCTTAGAATCCTTCCTCCATCACATTCCTGGGGACAAAAAGGAAGATCCTGTTTATTTCCAATCCAGGGAGTTGATTCTAGGGTCGGCCAGAACTGGCCAAACAGGAAGTGATTCCTTAAATCTTCCAACTCTAAACGTTGCCAGCTAAGAGAAGCACAGGGCCTCTCCACGAAGTTCTCTGGGCCTTCCCACCTGTCCTGAGCCTAATTTCACTGCAGCCTGGCCTCATTTCTCTCAGGCCCAGCACCCCGGGGGAGGGGAAGGATGGTGGCTGTAATTAATCATGCCCCAGCCTCCAGTTCACACTCACCCCATTCAGATTTCAAAGTTAAAAAAAAAAGCTGGATGTCTGCATATGAAACACTCTTTGTTGCTGAAACAGCGTGGTCTTAGCCTAAAAGAGGGAGCTGTGGGAGCGCACAGGAAAGAAGAGGCTTCCAGGACCTTCTCTGAACAAAATGAAGCTTTATTTATTTATTTATTTGACAGGCAGAGTGGACAGTGAGAGAGAGAGACAGAGAGAAAGGTCTTCCTTTTGCCAATGGTTCACCCTCCAATGGCCAGCGCACTGCGCTGATCCGAAGGCAGGAGCCAGGTGCTTCTCCTGGTCTCCCATGGGGTGCAGGGCCCAAGCACTTGGGCCATCCACCACTGCACTCCCAGGCCACAGCAGAGAGCTGGCCTGGAAGAGGGGCAACCGGGACAGAATCTGGCACCCCGACCGGGACTAGAACCCAGTGTGCCGGCGCAGCAAAGCGGAGGATTAGCCTAGTGAGCCACAGCGCCTGCCCCAAAATGAAGCTTTAAATACGTGTATTACAAGTGCTGGCACTGCGGCGTAATGGCTAAAAGTGCCACCTGCTCCACTTCCAACCCGGCTTCCTGCTAAGGCGAAAGTAGCAGAAAATGACCCTTGCCACCCACTTGGGAGACCTTGGCTTCCGGCCTGGCTCAGCTCTGGTAGCCGTTGTGGCCATCTGGGGAGTGAGCCAGCGGATGGAAGATCTGTCTGTCTCTGTCTCTCTGTAACCCTGCCTGTCAAATAAATAAATCTTTAAATACAAAAGGAAATCTGTGTGTTAAAAAATGCGTATACATACTCTCATAATGTCTGGTGTGAGCATCCATCCCACACAAGTGTGCTCATTATTATTTACTGCTCTAATTATTATTACTGTTATGATTAATTCTCTGGGTCTTAATAGGTTTTGTTGTTTCCCTATTAAAGGCAAACAGCAGGGGGTATGGAAGGAGTAGGTTGGGAGGCGGTGGGAGTGGGAAGGAGGCTTCTCTTTTCATTCTCTTTCTTCTGTGACGCTTGCAACATGCATACATTACTTTGTAATTAAAAATAAAAAAGAGATTAGCAAGGAAGGGAAAGGAAAAAAGAATTTGCCACTAAAACACCTTTTTTGCTATTCTCTTAGCATTAGTTTAACAAATCCTAACAGAGATTATAAATTTTACTTTCCAGTCTGTCTGGAACTCACCCTATACTCCCAGTCGTGGCTGAGCAGAGGAGGCAAGACACGGGCCTTGGAGAGGGGCTCCTCCGGGCCTGTCCAGAGGGAAAGCCAGTGGTGAGCAGCGAAGCCCACCCGACTGTGTGTTCTCAGGGAGGAAGTCTGTCTAGCATCCCAACTTGGCATGGAGAGGTCTGACACTTGGAAGTTGAGGAAGGCTCCCACCCTTAATGAAAACTGATGGCAACGGGCATGTGATTAACAAGGTGGGGCCCTAGCATCTGTGGTTTTCTCCAGTACCTCCCAAGACATTGGCAACCGTCATCATGCACAGCTCAATGCTCTATAAAGAACTCATCAAGGCTGTATTTTGGCATAGCAGGTTAAGCCACTGCCTGCAATGTCAGCATCCCATATGGATGCCACTTCAAGTCCTGCCTGCACCACTTCTCTTCCAGCTCCATGCTAACACACCTAGGAAAAGCAGCAAAGGATGGCCCAAGTGGTTGGGCCCCTGCCACCCACATGGAAGACCCGGTTGAAGCTTCTGGCTCTTGGCTTCGGTCTGACTCAGCCCTGGTGGTTGCAGCCACCTAGGAAGTGGGCCTGCAGACAGATCTTTCTCTGTAACTCTGCCTTTCAAATAAATAAGTCTTTTTTAAAAAATTTGTTTAGTATTTATTTTATTTGAAAGGCAGAGTTACAGAGAGGCAGAGGCAGAGAGAGAGGTCTTCCATCCTCGGGTTCACTCCCCAGATGGCCTCAACGGTCAGAGCTGTGCAATTCGAAGCCAGGAGCCAGGAGTTTCTTCCCACTCTCCCACACAAGAGCAGGGGCCCAAGGACTTGGGCCACCTTCCACTGCTTTTCCAGGCCACAGCAGAGGGCTGGATTGGAAGCAGATCAGCCAGGGCTCGAACTGGCGACCATATGGGATGCCAGCACTGCAGGCAGCAGCTTTTACCTGCTACGCCACAGTGCTGGCCCCATTTTTAAAAAGATTTATTTATCCCATATGGGCTGCTGGCACCGCAGGTGGAGGTTTAACCTACTATGCCAGTGCTGGCCCCTTTACAAAAAACAAAAACAAACAAAAAAACTCATCCTCTCGAAATACAGATTGGGGAAACTGAAGCTTAGGGCATAGGAGGGACTTGCTCAAGGTCACCCAGCAAACAAGCAGCTGACCCCAAGGCAGAAAAGAAAACGGAACTTCTCCTGTGTCCCACTAAAAACAGGATGAGGAGCGTCTGAAAGATGCCGTTTCACATCTAATCGCTTCTTGTGTTGTAACCATTTTCCTCATACACAGCCCTCGCTGATGGATCAGAAATAACATTTTCAAAGTTATATCTGCAAGGAAATGGCTATTAATGTTCTTCCTCTCCTTTCAGAGTGCTGAGGAATACATATTAATTTTCTCTCTACTTACACTGCCTATTTGCAAATTGTATTCACTACCCAGTGCTCCAATTTGTCCTACCCCTGAAGAGATTATGAAGAATAAATGTATTCCTGGAAATAAAATAAAATAAAACATGTGTCACTAGGATTTATTTTCATAATTATTTACGGGGATTATTTTAAAATATATGGAGGGGCAATAATTACACCGCGCACGTGAGGATCCTGCCGTGATTTACCAATATAAATTCCCGAGCTCTTCCCACAGCCTAGACTCTCTTCACAGCGTGAACCAAGGGCAAAGCAAGTGCACCTGAGGGATGAGGGCCAGAGGAAGGCCTGGTCCAGCTTTGTAGCAGCCAATGCATGGCCTAGGAGCTGTGGGTTCAGGATCTAGCTTTGCCACTCACTCCCTGTGTGCCCACGGATGAACCCATTCACTCCCAAGGTCCTCGGTTCCCTCAGATGCAAACGAGCTGACCTATGGAGTTCTTGATTACCAAACTAATGCAAGTAAGTACACACATCTCCCCAAGATAAAGACAGAGAATCCACACGTTAGTACTTAGTAGATGTTTATTGAGCACCTGCTATGTGTGAGGTGCTTGGGGACAAAGCAGGAACATGACAGAGTCCTTATTCTTGAGAGGCTCGCATTATAGTGACAGGAGACAGGTAGTAAGTGGAGAAATAACACGATTTCAAGTATATAGAACACATTTCAGATGGCACCGGGACATGCTATGAAAACGGAGGCTGACTGTGAGAGTGGGTGGGGGATGCTGACTTTGACAGTGTCCTGGACCTCCGCTGAATTTTCAGAGCCTTTCTCCTGGAAATCCCTGAAGAGTGCAGCATGAACTGGCTCATGGCCCCACTCACCCCTCTGCAGACTGCTTTTTATTAACGATAGATTTATTTATTTGAAGTGGATACTTAGAAAGAGATATATCTTCTGTCTGCTGGTTCACTCCCCAAAAGGCTACAATGGCAGGGGATAGGTCCAGACCAAAGCCAAGAGCCCAGGGCTCCAGCTGGGTCTCTCCCATGGGTGGCAGGGGCCCAAGTACTTGGGCCATCTTCTGCTGCCCTTCCAGGCACATTAGCATGGAGCTGGATTAGAAGTGAAACAGCTGGGACTGGAACCAGCGCTCGGGTATGCTGGCGTTGCAGGCAGCAGCACAGCTCACTGCACCACACCACCAGTCAGTGCACAACGCTTTTGCGATGCACGAACTGCGCAGGTTCAGCCAGCTGTGGAGTGTTCTAGGGAGGCCTCTCTCAAGGGACCAATATTTGAGCTGAAGTCTGAATCCTAAGATGGAGCAACCCAGAGGAAGACCTGAAAGGCTTTGCAGGCAGAGGGAAGAACGCCAAAGCCATGCCAGTTCCCTTGGTCTCATGCTCTCACTTTGCTCAGGCTTGAATGGTGCACTTGAATTCAAATGGTTCCAAAACAGAAGCACGTTTTTTGGGAAAGATGCAAGTGGAAAAAATTTGTAGCCATCAGGTTGCCTTCAGCTTTCAAACGGTTCAGGAAGGGAGCCTGCACTGTGGCACAGCGGTTAAGCTGCTGCTTGCGATGCCACCACCCAGTATCAGAGTGCCAGGATCCAGCTCCCTTCTTCCTGTACTTGGGAAAGCAGCAGAAGTTGGCCCAAATGCTTGGTCCTCTCACCTACATGAGGGACACCAGGATGGAGTTCCAGCTTCCTGGCTTCAGCTCAGATCAGCCTTGGCTGTTGCAGCTATCTAGGGAGTGAACCAGTGGTTGGAAATTCATGCGCTCTTTCCTTTTAAACAAATAACTAAATACATCTTTTTAAAAAAAAATCAACAAAATAACTTTTAAAATGGTGCAGGAAAAAAAAAGTGTGTGTATACACAAATATAACAGTGTTAATAGCTGTACGTCTAGGTGAAGTTTATTGGATGCTCATGCGCTATTCTTTATAATTTTTCCAAGTTTGAAATATTTGTAAGTAAAATGCTAAGGACCTAAAAAGGGAGAGAGATGAACTGTATCCAGTGGTGCCTGCTGTTTGGTGGCATCACTTGCATTTGTATCCATTCCTGACATCCCAGTGAGGCGGGTACCCCAAACAGCCCCACCTTCTGCAAAGAGATGGTCAACAGGACACAAGGAGAAAGGAAGGAGGACAGCAAAGGCCACAAGTCAGCGTCACCATGCCAAACTGGCCCCCCCGACTCCCCGTACTGACTTGCACGCCACAGGAACCACTCCTTGCTCCCACAGGTGTGGGAAGCCACTGCTGCAGGCTCTACCACCCCCATCCCACCTGCCTGCTGGAGCTCTGGCAGGAAGCCTCCCCAGACACAACCCACAGCGCACAGCCCTCGCTCGCTCGCTCTCCTGAAGCTGTTTGCAGCAAGTGACTCACCCAATTAAGAGCATCTACATAACAAAGGCTCACCGGGCCGCAGAGGTCACGCAGACTGTGAAGTGCGTCTTCGGAGTGCGCAGCAGAGCAGCTTTGCTAATTACCAGTCATTTCCACCCCTCAAGAGCCTGTCAGCCTTTGAGATGCAGGGGATGAAAGAACCCCCAAATTCCCACCCCACACCCATCACCTCTCCCTCCCCAGCCCACCCCTGCATCTCAGACCTGTGACTAACCGGGGTCTCTTCCCAGGAGCTGAGCAGCCTGCAGTTTGCATCCTTGGCTCTGCTAAACAAGCAAGCAAACAAAGCCTGTGTTGTCTTTCTCTTCGTTTTACAAAGGTGGTCAGTGTTTGCGGTAGTAAGCACAAGTAAGCAAGAAAGTCACAGGCAGCCATGCCATGACCCTTAGGGTGGACACAGTCCCATAGTGGCCCCTGTAGTCTGCTTTCTGGGAGACAGGTGTTTTTTTTTTTTTTATATTTATTTATGTATTTCAAAGTCAATGTCACAGAGAGAGGGAGAGAAGTAGAGAGGGATCCTCCACCCGCTGGTTCACTCCCAGATGGCCCCAACAGCCAGCACAGGACCAGGGTGAAGCCGGGAGCCAGGAGCTTCATTTGTGTCTCTTATGAGGGTGGCAGGGGCCCAGGCAGTTGGGCCACCCTCTGCTGGTTTCCCAGGCGCATTAGCAGGGAGCTAGATTGCAGGTAAAGCAGCCGAGACTCGAACCAGCATCCATATGTGATGCCGCTGTCGCAGGCCATGGCCTTACCCATGGTACCACAGTGCCAGCTCCACTGGGAGATGGGCATTGGCTGTGGGTATAGCCAAGTCCTTGCTCTTTCATCTAACACTGTACCACCAACACCTCTCCCCATGAGCACATGGAAAGAATGTGGGAGCAGGCAGGGACATCTGCAAGCTGAAGGAGCAGCTGTGAGGCGGTTAGCAGCCCTGACCTTGGGAACTGTGAGCAGGTGACTTTCTCTCCGGGAACCTCAGCTTCCTGACCTGTAAAATGGGAGTGACAGTTTACAGGGTCGTGGTAAGGCCTGAGGGAGATCCTGCTTGTGAAAGGGCTGTACAGACAGGAGACATTTCCTTACTCATTTTAGTAAGTGTTCCTTCATCAGTGTCTGCTCTTGACTTAGCCCTCTGTGGTCCTGTGTTGAGAATATTCAGCCCTGGAGGAACTCAAGTTCAAAAAGTAAAGTTACTTACACACACACACACACACACACAGTTAAACAATAAGGATTTAAAATAGCTAATAAAAGATATCATCAATTAGTAGTTAATTAAGTGCCAAATGAGTGGCATAAACACTGTGGGGACTCAGAGGTAAGAAGGAACACAGGGGGATGATAATAATAATAACAACAACAACAACAATAACAACTGCTTTCATTATTTTCTACATGCCAGGCACACACGTGGTTTCATTTCACGGACCCTTTGATCACATGAGGTAGGGCCCATGACCACGTTCATTTTGCAGAGGAGGAAATGGAAACTCCAGCGAGGTTAAGAGCCTTGCCCCCAGGGTACACATGGAGTGAACGGGGCAATCCTGTTCTTTGAATCCAAGAAGTCAGCCCCCAGAGCCCACCATGTGCTTTATGCTGACAGAGACAGGGCGGGGAGCCCTGACCTGGACTATGAGCAGAGGTCAGACCCAGGAGGGGTGTCGGTGCACCGGAGGGAGGTCCCAGGCTGGCTGGATGGCTGCTCCTGGGTAACAGTGGAAAGCAAACTTTGAGGGCAGGGAGATTGAATGAGAGGAGCTAAGGCATGGGAAATGCTTACAGAGTGACAGAGAGACAGAGTCAGAGAGAGAATTTTCTGTCCACTGGTTCACTCCCCGAATGGCTGCAACAACAGCCCGACCACCGTAAGGTCAAAGCCAGGAACCTGGAACTCCATCTAGGTCTCCCACATACTGGGCAGGGCCACAAGCACTTGGGCCATCTTCCACTGCCTTCCCAGGCATATTAGCAGGGAACTGGATCAGAATCAGAGCAGTGATAAGGGATGCCAGCAACACAGGCAGTGGCCTAAGCCACTGTGCCACAATGCCAGCCCCATCCCATGAAATGCTTTTAGACAGAGTTGCCTATGAAGTCTACAGCAATGTGGAGTCCCATCAAAGCAGTGCTTGGGAAGGCGGGGCCAGAGAGGAGGTACCTTGGGAGGCTTTGAGATGGGGGGAGTGGGGCAGTGTTCGGCTGGAACCGAAGCCCCCAGGGAGGCCACCCTCGCTGGAAAGCCCTTGTTCCTCTTTTATCTCTGTGACCCGCTGCATTAATCCACTACTGGTTCCCACGACTGCCGGCCTCATTCTGGCATGTTTACCAACTCCTTTTGCACTTGGAGTCCACAGGAAGCGGCTCACTCAGCCATTCCATGAGGGCCCAGGAACTCCCATTTCCAAGGCAGAGTCAGTCAACAGGACCTGAGGGCTAATTGCCATCAAGGGGAAGGAGGCCAGGGCTCTAAAACCATACCCCAGCTCTAAATCCTGTTCTCCACCCCCTCCAGCCCTGAACCTTGCAGACCCTTCCCCGGGGTCAGGCCCCCATCACCACTTCTCATCCCTGCTGAAGGAGTTGAGCCACCGCCGGTGGGTGTCACACAGGCCCTTTTTGCTTCTGAAGAAGCAAGTGGGAAGACTGAGAATGCAAGGCCTCTGGCCCTCCCTATGCAACCTGGTGAGTAGTATGCGAATGTGGCCTGAAGAACTGTGTGACTGACGGGGTCCCTGGGAGACAGTTAGTTTAGCACCAAAGGTAAGCGCTAAGAAAGGCAAATCTGTGGAAACATATTCATAGACCCAATATTTATTATCACTGATGCACAGAGAAACTATGCAGGGAATGAAAGTACAAAGATGTGATAACTGCTTTGGAAAAGCTTGGAGGGAAAGAAAAGGAGCCAGTAGCTATGAAGCATCTTAGCCAGGGTGCAGAGTCAGAAAAACCTTGTACTCTCCCCTGATGCCACTGCTGTACTCACACAAAGCCCCAGATGCTCCAAGCCACCACCTGGAGGTGTTCCTGCGCCACTGATTGCATTGCACAAAGATTTTTTTTTTAGCACCCCAAGGTACCAAACACTTAAGCTCTTAAGCTCTGCTGAGAAGAATGAGAGTTGATTGTCACCTAAGGTGGGCGATCTTGACAGTGTGTCCTTTAATGCTTTGGAAACCTTCATCAGACATTGTGAGTGCCATCCAGGCATGCTGGGGGAGAGGGATGGAAGTAAAGGGGAGAAAGTCTGCACATTCGCAGACCAGAAATGGATAATCATTTTTTTTTTGGGAAGAGGTGAATCAGGCAACATTGTGAAGCCACACAGAGCAGTGACCAGGGCACACGAGGCATTCTGTAAAACCATCAAGTAGGATTCACTCACACAATTCTGCACGACTAATTCCCTTCACTGAATTGTTCCGTTTTACCCAGCTGGGTTGGAGATATTCAGCAAAGCTGTCTGTTGATGGGTTCCCCATTAGTACCCATCACAGGGGATCATGGGCAAGCTGCAAAGTAAACACCATCAGACCTGTTTAGAAGCCACCCAAAGAGCCAGGTTATGGCTTATCAGCTGATATTGTTGGTTGTGAATGACAGAAACTGGCTCTGGCTAACTTCAGCGGAAAAGGAATTGATCAAAGGGTTATCAGGAAGCTCACAGAACCGCTAAGGAGACTGGAGACCAACACCGGAAATGGAGAGGAACTGACAGTAGCTGGCAAATGCATACGCAGCTGCTGGGGCTACTGCAGCAGTCCGCTGAAGCCACTGCCCCAGGGGCTGCCCTGACCACAGCGGGCATGGCAGCGGCTCTGAGCACCTCTCTGCTTCCCCTCGACAGCCAGTGGCATTGCATGGGGCTCGCTAATGCTGCTGTGCTCTCTCAGTCTCTGCGTCCGCCAAGAAGGGTCTCCAAACTGCCCCACACCCCTGCTCAAGCCCCGGGTGGGGTGTCCTGTTGGTGCAGCCTCCGTGGCAGGGATGGGGAGAAGGATGTAGCCCCTTCAGCTTCAGGAGTCGGAAGCAGGTCCTGCTTCCCAACAAACAGGAAGGTGAGCCAGCGCCGCGGCTTACTAGGCTAATCCTCTGCCTTGCGGTGCCGGCACACCAGGTTCTAGCCCCGGTCAGGGCACCGGATTCTGTCCCAGTTGCCCCTCTTCCAGGCCAGCTCTCTGCTGTGGACAGGGAGTGCAGTGGAGGATGGCCCAAGTCCTTGGGCCCTGCACCCCATGGGAGACCAGGATAAGTATTGGCTCCTGCCATCGGATCAGCGTGGTGTGTCGGCCGCAGTGCACTGGCCGTGGCGGCCATTGGAGGGTGAACCAACGGCAAAGGAAGACCTTTCTCTCTGTCTCTCTCTCTCACTGTCCACTCTGCCTGTAAAAAAAACAACAACAAAAAAAAACAACAACAAAAAAAACAGGAAGGTGACTCAGACACTAGGCCATCAAAGGAGGGGGGTGGGCAATCCCAAACCCCCACTCTCTAATGTAACAGCATGGCACTGAAGACTAAAGGTACTACGTAGGACACCTGTGCCCAAATGGTGAGAGGAGTGGCCATGCAGGGGCAGGTTTTTCCATTGAGTTGTGTCAACCAGCACATCCTACACTTTGAGATCCCGAACACACCACTGTAACCCCAAGATCCTGCTCTGCTCCCGCCTCATCCAGGACCCGCTTACTGAACCTTTACAATACACGGGCTCAAAATAACTATTGTCTTTCCATGGGATTTGTGTTACCTTCTCCATTAAATGGAAAACACCCTGAAATGCAAGGCCACAGAGAATACTTGCTGGAGGTCCCCCAAGTGCAGCAAACCCCACACACAGCCATTCATTCAGCAGCCAATGGCACCCAACAGTTCTCCTCATGCACTTCGGGGAGAACAGCCCCTGTGGAGTTCAGCATCCGTGAGGGAAACACGCTCTGCGGGAAATCCAGCCACAGGTGAGTGCTGTAGGAGGTGAGAGGGTGCAGGCAACTGGAGCGGAAGCTTAAGGAAGAGAAAGAGCAAAGAGAGAGGGGGAGAGAGGCCATTCCTGGTAGGAGGAAGAGCATCAGCAAAGCCAACACATTTGAGTAACCGTAAGGAAACTCAGGGCGAGGGGGCGAAGGAGACAGGAGAAAAAAAGAAAGCTGGGGCAGATCAAGCCAAGACCCACCAGCCAAAGCCTGGGGTGCAGGCTCAACTTAGCCTTGCAACCAATGGCAAACCAGAGACTTTTAAGCCGAACAACTACATGGTCTGATTTGCTTTTAAAATTAACTGCGCTCTGGCGTGGGCTTGGACCAGGGTGTGGGTGTGGGGGGGGGGGGCGGGGCTGGCACGCTTCGCGGCCTGGCTGTCCCACTAGGCTGGGAGCCGGCAGGAGGCTGCCCACCTCTCTCGGCTCTGCCCTCCTCCCACGCAGCCCCTGCTCCAGCCGCAAGTGGGTGTGGCTACCAGGGCTGCCCCAGAGAGCAGACTAGGGTCCCGGGGCTCAGAAGACTGGGTGTGGGGAAAGCCAGGCCGACTTCTTCCCTGAGTGCTCCATCAGACGAACAGGCGGTCCGCCGCACCTACCTCGGAGAGTCGCTGCGAAGACATAACTCGCACCAAGTGCTTAGTACCTGGCACAAAACAAACAACCGACAAGTGTTAGCTTTTCCTGCTGCCGCTTCCCGAGGGGACCCCGGTGGGCGCGGACTGCTTCCCTGGCTCTCCCAGGCGTGAGGACCCCTGGGCCAGGCAAGCCGCAGGGCTCCTAAAATGGCCAAGGCTGGAACAGGGCTTCCGTGAGAGTTTGAGCTCGAGCCGCTCGCTAGCGCGCGCACGCTTTTATTCACATGACTGGAAAAGACGCCCCAAGCGGGGCGAAGAGAACTGCCCACCGCCCTCCCGCTAAACCCGAGTTCAGCGGGTTAGGACTCTCTCGGGCTAGGACTTGGCGGCCGGGGCCCGGCGGGCGGGCTGAGGGGGCGGGGCCTGGGCGCCGGGGGCGGGCCGGCGCGGACGCCGAAGCCCCGCCCCCGGCGGAAGTGCCGCCCGGCTCGCCCCGCCCCCCGGAGGCCGGTTCCCTTTGCCCCTCCCCTGCCGGGCTCTCCCCCCTCAGCGCGGCTTCCCCGGCTGGTTCGGCCGGAGCTCCGGAACCTAAGTCCGGAGACGAGGTCCTGGGTCCGCGCATCTGGCCCTCTCGGGTGGGGCTCCCTGTCCGTCTCACTCCTTTCCATTTCTGTTCTCGGCGCGGCCGCAGGCGCCGCGGGAGACCGCCCAGGTAAAATCCCGCACGTGAGGGCTCAGGTGTGGGCCGGACGAGCCGGGCAGTGGCCGACGGCACGTGCCCGGCTTTTCTCCAAGCGCTTGCGTTGACAGGGCTTAGCGGTGGCGGACGCGGACTCCGGGGAGCTCGAGGGCCGGGTCGTGTGGTCCCGAGCCCGGCGCAGGCTTCGCCCTGCCGGGGACAGGGGGGCGCGGGGTTGGGGCGGCTGGGGCCGAGGCACCCGAGGGTCGTCCGCCGCCCACTCCCCGCGGAGACCGGATTCTGACAGCCGCCCGGCCCGGACGCGCATAGCCCCAGGTCTGCAGAATGAAAATCAATAAAATCGATACAATGGCAAAGAACGCGAAACATGTTGGGTTGTTATTCCTTGCGTTTGTTAATTTTTTATTTATTTATTTTTAACTTCTTTCTTGGACAAGGTGGCTGCAGCTTGGATCCAGGGCCGCCTCCGAAAGGAACGCAAAAATCTCTCCGGGTTTCCCGGCTGGGGGGGGGGGGGGCTGTCCACCGCCCCCTGCCGCGCGAACTTCCCCGGGCGGCTGTGCGGGCTCCGGCGGCGGGAAGGAAGCCCCGGGGCGCGCGGCGTCCGGACCGGGCTCTTCCCCGCGTCGCGGCGTCTGCCCTTCAGGGAGCTGCCCCCCTTACGCCGCCACTCCCCTGGTTCGCCACCCCCACGCCCCGGGGGCCGAGCCTCCCCCCTCCCGCGCGCTCTCCCCGGCGCTTTAAATAATGATATTTGCATGCAGGGAGCGATTCATAAATATGTCAGGGCCGGTGAAATATAGGCAACATTTCAAACTTTCTATTTAAAAAACATGAATTATGGCCGCGGAAAATGTGTTCCCATTTAAAGGCGATACGAAGTATTTGGTGTCTCGTCCCCGGGCCCATCCATCACGCAGACAATAAAGAGAGTTTTTCGCCCTGACACTCGCGATTTATGGGCGCCCTTCTCTGCCCTCATCACTCACCCGCCGCGGCCGGCCCCGCGACAGGCCCCGCCGAGAGACGGGCGCGGGCGCGCGTTGCGCGCGCTCCAGCCCCCCGGGACTGCAGCTCCCTGGGGGGAGTGGCGGCTCGCAGGCGTCGAAGGATCGGTCCCCAGGATCCGAGTGGCCGAGGGGGAGCGCGGGAGCCACACTCGACCTCCGGCCTCCGTGCGCACAAGCCGCTCTCAGGGCTGGGGCCGCGCGCGCCGAGGAGCTGCCTGCGGGCCCCTCTGCGCCCGGGCCTCGCCCGCAGATCGCGGCGGCGCGTCAGAAAGTTAGCGGCGCCGGCGGCGGGCGGCTATTTACCCGCTGGTTGGAGGTGAGAGTAGAGAACTAGGCCGGCGGGGCTACCTAGGCCGCTTCCTGACCACTCCGCATCCAAGGAAGGAGAGCTGGTCCCGAGGTTTTTTGGACCCAGCCCCGCCGAGAGGTCGCTGCTGGGCAGAGCTTGCTTTGGCCGCCTGGTCCCCGGTGCTACTGCTGCGAACACAGCCCGGGGGTCCCCGGCAGCCGACGAACCCCTTTCACCATCAGGGGCCGCGGAGGAAGGACGCGCGGGAGGCGCCGTCCCCAGCGTTTCGCTCCGGCCCAAGCGCTCGTCCCGGTGCGCTGCCCTTCCAAAGCCGCCGGCAGGTCTCCGGTGCCAGCTCGCGTCGGGGAAGGCTCAGGCTGCGTCTGGGGCAGAATTCGCTTTCAGTTTTCGCCGCGGGCGGACCCGGCCCGGCTAGATTCCGTGGCCCCCGCAGAGCTGAGAGCTGCCAGGCACTGCCCGGCGGCGCTAGGCCGCTCGACCTCGGGGCGCCGCCCAGCCAGCTGCCCGCGGAGGCCGCCCCCGGCACCAGGCGACACCTCGAGTCCGGCGCTGGGCCGAGGCGTGAGCGTACACGCGAGCCGGGAGCCGTTTCCCCTGCCGACGCCTGCGAGCTGTGAGCATTCGGATAAATGGAACACAAACGACAGCCAGAGAAATCCCGTCGATTCTAAAAATGACAAGGTTGAATTTATTAGATGCAGACTCCTGTATAAGAGCAGGGAGATAAAAATTATACAAACAGTTCCACGTCCAGTGCGCGCCCCACTGATGGCTCAGGCTTCAAGGGCACCGAACGGAACGAGTGACAGTTTAGATCTACAGGGGGATATAAAATATTAAGTTCTCGGTGTGTGCACATACAGTTTAGTGGGGGAAATCTAGAGAAGCGTCTTTTTTTTTCCAGCCCCTGAGTGTCATCTGGTCTCAAGCTAAGACTTCTGTCCAAAGAACCACCTAGTGAGTGATTTCCTAAAGCAAGAGGTGGGGAGCAAGGTATCCACAGCTGTTTCCGTGTCTGCAGCGTGGCAAAGGTGAAATGAAGACGTTTAAGAAAAGGAGACGTGCAGACAACTGAACCAGTGCATCGATAAGGCATTTCTAGGTATGAAAATAAATATTTCTACGAGGTCAGTCGTGGCGCGTGCAGACTTAAACAGAGCAGCCTTGGGAAACCCGATGCAGGGGGCCACGGGTCCTGCAGCCCTGTATGCCTTGCAGTTTAGGTTAGCCCTGTTCGGTGTTCCTGGCCTCCCGCCCTGGCTTGACTGCTGGCAGAGCCTCGGCCTGCAACAAGCATAGAAAGAGAACGCTGGAGCTGAAAGTAGCAGGGCCTGGGGTCCCGCGGGCAGTCCTCAGCCCTCAGTTCGGATGCCACAGGGCTCTGGCAGCGGCTGTCTAGGTTGACAGATTTGGGGGAGGGTCTAGCTGAATTCCAAGGGTCCCAAGGATAGAAGCTGGAGGCCACCGGGAAAAGGGCCAAGATTTTTGCTAGCGTCCCGAAGCTAGTCCCCACCCAGCCTTCGAGATGCCAACCAGAGGCCCTTAGAAGCAGTCATCTGGGTGCTTCTACTTGTGAAATATTAGACACCCCTTGTGCGCACTCAACGCGGAGGCCCTGATGCCGGGGGATCCTCCATAAATCTGCAAAGTCCAGCGAGGTCCGTAGTGTTGCAACTGTGGAACACCAAGACCAGCCAAATATGACATCCAGAATAAAGCGTTTCCCCGGAATCCTTCAGCCATCTCTGTCCCTAAGCGCTTTCTCCCTCTCTGCCTCTTCCTCTCCCTGTCCGGCTCTCCTCCGACAGCACCCAACCCTTACACCAGCACAGACTTGGGGAGGGGGCACTCTGCTATGAGTTCTTGGAGAATTATGCACACTCTGAGGGACGCTTGCCCGGGCCCTGAAAACGCCCCCACTCCAGAGACTGCCTGCGCCTGAAGTGGTTTCCACGGCATTCTGAAGGCGAGGGCGAGAATGGGCAATATTCCCTTGGAGTAGGTAGAGGGGTAAGGCAGAGAAAATGAAAAGGCCAAGAAAGAAGTGGGAGTCGAAACAAAAAGAAGGGAAAGAGAAAGAAGAAATCGAGATGCGGAGAGGGGAGAGGAACGCAAGAACGGCGAGGTCCCGCGACCAGGCCAGGCCGCGGCTCCCGCACGCCGGACGCCTCCCCGGCCTCGAGAGGCGGTGAGGGCGCGCCCAGCGGTCCCCCAACGGCCTCGGGAACACAGGCCCCTCGGCCAGCCGGGCGGGGCAGGCCCTGCGCACTCTCTCCGTGCTCCCAAGGACTGCGGGGCGGGGCGGCTCGAGGGTGGGGAGGCCCCGGGGGGGGCGCGCGCCGGCCCCAGGCTGGTTGGGCGCTCTGGGCCAGGCTTTCCAGCTCGCCGGGCCTGACCTGTCAGGCGGATTATCTTCGAGGGAGATTAATAGGGGAGGCGGGCTGCAATAATAATCGTTTTGTTTGATGTGACAACTCTGATAGGCGTTGATTTACTTACAAACTGATAGGCTTTTAATTGAGCGCCTCCGCCGAGCCCGAGATGAAAGGGAAGCGGCGGTGAAAGGCGGCCCGCCTGCCCTCCGGCCTCAATACTGATTAGCCCTCTCGACAGTGAATACTTCAAGGCATTTTCAAACTTTTTCCTCAGCTCTCTCCCCTTCCTCCTCCTCCCACCCCCTCCTCAAATATCTGCCATGCCCACTCCTTTTTGAGAGAAAACAAATCATTTCCATTGTGTGCAAATAAAATCTGCAGGACATCCACGCCGACCGCCGCTGGGGGCTGGAAGCATTAGACCTAGCGCCAAGTGATTAATAACCACCATTCCCCGCCCCCCCCCCCCAGCCCCATGGCCCCCGCGGCCTTCGGGGGTCTGGCCTCCGGCAGGAGGAGCACAGGCCCGGACGCTGGCGCCTCGCGAAAGCCGGGGGCGCGCAGGCCTCCAGGCGCCCCCGTGCGCTCGGACCTTCGGAGCTGAGTTTTGAGCCAAGCGAACGCTCGCGGCCCACAACCTGTGCCCACGAAGCACGATGAGGACCCACGGGCGCGCGCGGCCATTCCAAGGGACGCGGGAGTCACCGCGCTGCCCCCCCAGGCTTTGGGCGCTGGGGCTGTCTGCCCGGAGTAATAAGGAAGCTGCTGGGATGAGAGGAGAGGGAACAAACTGTGCCGGAGAGTGGGCTGGAGGTGCGGAAGGAGGCGCCCACCTTGCGGTCGCCCCCGGCCCTGGCCGCCGCCCCAGCAGCCTGCAGTGGCCAGGCCTCGCCGGGAGGCCGAGGCGACACGCGGCCGGAGGCCGGACTCGCGGCGCTAGGAGCCCAGCAGCCGGCCCGGATCAACACCTAGATAGCCGGACACAGACAGACACTAACGCCCGCCGGGGAGGAGCGGCTTCGCAGACGTGCTGCCCCGCTCTCAGAAACGCACCTGGCACTCGGCGCCCGCAGGTCACTCATTCGTGGCAGCCGCACGGCCTCGCTGGTGGTCCCGCACCTTCTCGCCACTCAACCTTCCTGTTGTAGCAAGCCCTCTTGGATGCAGGTGTGTGCTCACACACGCGCGCGCACACACACACACACACACACACACACACACCGGCCCTCCACGCACCGCCTCGCTCCCTTCTCTCCGAATTAGCTTTGGTCAAGTTACCATCTCACAAAGTTTACCAACCTAAAGAACCGAGAGAGAGAAAAAAAAAAAAAAAAGCAGGCAAAGAACGCCTATGAGCAACATTCTAAAACTCACCCCCTGAAAGTTCTCGGTACCCGTGCGGAGTGGGAGCCGGAGACAAGGGGGGGGGGCGTGGGCTGGCGAGCAGGAGCGAGCGAGCGCGCCCCAGGCAGGCCTCGGAGCCGAGCGACCCCCGCGCGTGCCCCGCTCCGCGCCGGGTGCGCGCCGGCGGAAACCTGGTGTCCCGGCTCGGCCCCCGCCCCGCGGCTCCGGGCTGCCGGCGCTCCCAGCCCCACCATTTATCAAAAGGACTTGACAACAAAAGAAGAGCCAGGGCGGAAAAGCGGGGGAGGGGAGACTCAAAGTCCTCCAAGTCGTTCCGAGGAAGGGGGTGTGTCCTCCTCTCGCCCCCTCGCAGTTTCTGCGAGTTTCTGGAGGTAGGTGACCCCGGGACTGGCTCCGGACACCGCTCATAGCGGCACAGGCGTGCGCGCACTCTCCGCACCCGGGCCCAGGTAGCCGGCGGCACGCACAGCGCCGCCGCTCTTCTCCGCGACAGCCCGAGTGACGGTGCAAATCGAGGGGAACGCGGCGGTCCCGCTCCGCTTCCCCGGGAGAACCCGCGTTCCCACAGGCGGCCGCCCCTCCCGCTCGCGCCTTCCCTCGGCTCTGCCAGCGCAGCTCCACGCCGGCTCGGCGTTCCCACACCTTGGAGCGAGGAGCTCCGAGGAAACCGGTCTCCTGGCACGCCGGGAGGGCGCAGGGCGCGGGATGCGCGGGCAGGCGGTTGCGGCGGGGGGCACGAGTGAACCTGACACGAGCCTCGCCCACGCACCCGCGGCCGGGCCTCCTCTCCGCAGCCTCGCAACCCTGGCCACGATTCCCGGGGGCCCGAAGAGTTGGGGGGACCCGCTCTTCCAGCCACCCCCACCCCCAGGCCCCGAGGATTTGTTGATGGCGTGGAAAGAAGTCTGGGAGGGGGCGCCGGGGCACTGCGGGGCGAGCGACGCAGCCGCAGCCTCACCGCCCCACGCGGGGCGGGAACTGTCCCGTGCGAGACGCCGCCGGTGCCCAGCCCGCCCCCTACAAACTCTAGGGCCCAAGCCCCCTAGGTGCGAGGGTCCCCCACCACCGGGAGAGGTGTCGCGCGCCCTCCTGGCGCCCCGGGCGCACCTGCGCACTCCACTCCTCGCCTTCCCCACCCCGGCGGGCCCCTCTTTTTCTTTTCTCAGCCCCCACCCCAATCCCTAGAGGCCGCTCCTCTCGCCCCCTCCTCCAGTCCCCTCCCGGTCTCTTCCTTCCTCTCTCTCTCTCTTCTCCCTCTTTTTCCCTGCAAGTCGCACCCGCCTTGTAATCAGCAACAAAAGCTGACATAAATCACGGGCGGATTGACAAGAGCTGACAAATAACTGATTGATTGCGGTCGAGGCACATTGACAATTGATGGAGGGGTGGAGATGCCCAGAGAAGGCGCGGGGCGGGGGGAGGGCGGCAGGGGAGAGTAAGAATGGGGGCGGGGGGACAGACTGAGTGTGAAACAGAGGAAGCACGTGACCTCGCCCCTGCCCCAATCGGCGGGTCCCTGGGTGTCACGTGGCTGCGGAGGGCGGGGAGCCGGGCGCCCGTCGCTGGGATGAGCAGCCACCGCTTCCGCGGCCTGAGTGACTTCTGGTTTCTCCACCGCCGAGTCTCGGGAAACCAGAGCGGGCGGGCGAACTCGCTCGCGCCCGGGCTCCTTCCCCGGGTGGCCGCGCCGCGCGCGATCTCGGTTCCACCAGGTGTGCGGGCCCCGTGCGCGCCGCCGGGCGCCGACGATCTGGCTGGTGTCCACACGCCTGCCGGATCCCTTCCTGGCTACGCCCGCAGACTGGTCCTCATCGCCGCTGCTTGCTTCCAAGAGAAGGTTTCGGTTAATTTTCCGAGCCGAGGAAAGGACAGACGACGAGGAGGGCAAAAAAAAAAGAGGGAGGCGGCAGATGGCAAACGTAGAATACACGTCCATCTCGTCCTCGGAGTGAAAACGAGGGAGGGGACACGCAGAGGAGGGCGGCGAAGAGGGAGCTGCCCATTAAAACCAGCTCGGAGAGTCCTGGCGGCGGCGGCGGCGGCGGCGCGGGACGCGTCACATCCCCTTGACCCTCCAATCACCTCGGGCTCCCATTTGATTGGAAGGCGGCAAAGGCTTTAATCTCCCCCTCGGTGCAGCTGCTTTTGAAGTGAGTTTCCTCGCCAGAGCCCCGGCTGGACAGGCAGCGGCTCACATCGCTGAGCGCAGCGCCGGCGCAGGGGCGCAGCCCGAGGCGGACCCGCAGCCCAGCCGGCTCCGCGGTGGGCCGCCCGGGACCCGTGGCTCGTGGCGCCCGGCGCGCCGGCTCCTCCTGCGGCTGCGGTTCCTGATCCCCGGGCGAGCGCGCAGCCCCGGGCCCTCCCCCCGCTGCTCCCATGCGCGCGGGTGGGTCATGAGCACAGCGCCCTCGCTTTCTGCCCTAAGAAGCAGTAAGCCCAGCGGCGGCGGCGGCGGCGGCGGAGGCGCAGACCCTGCCTGGACCAGCGCGCTCTCTGGAAATAGCTCCGGCCCCGGCCCAGGCTCGTCCCCGGCCGGCCCCACCAAGCCTTTTGTGCACGCCGTGCCCCCTTCCGACCCTCTGCGCCAGGCTAACCGCCTGCCCATCAAGGTGCTGAAGATGCTGACGGCAAGGACTGGCCACATTTTGCACCCTGAGTACCTGCAGCCCCTGCCCTCCACGCCCGTCAGCCCCATCGAGGTAAGGAACCCCCCACCCCCACCCTCTCCGGTCGCGGGGGGGGACCACTCCCCAGGCTGCCGCCCTGCAGGGTTTCCTTTCTCGGGACCTGAGGGTGGGGGTGGGGTCCGTGGTGATTCAGCTCCGGGGAGAGGGGAAGACGGCGCTTCTGCGCCTCCAAACTGGGGCGGAAAAGGAGCAGGAGGCGGGACCCTGGGTTCCAGGCGAAGGCTAGGGGACAGGGCGGCCAAAACTTGCTGCTGCTTTCGGTGTGAAAGACCCGACCGCGACCCAGGCCCCTACCCTCTGCGCTGCTGGCCGGCGGGCGTCTGGAATCCGGTGGCAGAGTAGCCGCGCCAGGGTCCTCTGGAGCTGGCGCGTGCACAGCCTCCGAGGCTCCAGCCGCCCGTGCCCTCGCTCTGAGGAATCCAAAGGTGCGCGCGCAGAGGGGTATCGTCCTGGGTCCAGCCTTTCACCCCGAAACCTTATGCGAGTGTTTTTTGAAAACCCAATTCGCATCAGGAGAGGGCAGGACAGCTTCTGCCCGGAGGTGGGAGTCCGCCGCCTGTCCCTAGGGCAAGGATGTTGGTGGGTGTGGGGGTGCCGCCCGGCTCCGCACCTCGTCGCTGGGGGGAATCTGCGCGGGCAGCATGGGGGGGGGGGCTGGACCCCAGAGGCCAGGATTCTAAAGGTTTCCCCCTTCTTTCTCCGTGTGATCCGTTCCCCGTCTGACTCTGCAGCTGGATGCCAAGAAGAGCCCGCTGGCGCTGCTGGCGCAAACCTGCTCGCAGATTGGGAAGCCCGACCCCTCGCCCTCGTCCAAACTCTCCTCGGTCGCCTCCAACGGGGGCGGCGCGGGCGGTGCTGGCGGCGGCGCCGGCGGCGACAAGGACGCCAAGTCGGGCCCCCTCAAGCTGAGTGACATCGGCGTGGAAGACAAGTCGAGTTTCAAACCGTACTCCAAACCCGGCTCGGATAAGAAGGAGCCGGGAGGCGGCGGCGGCGGCGGGGGTGGTGGTGGTGGTGGCGGCGGCGGCGGCGGCGGGGGCACTTCGGCGGAGAAGTCGGGATTCCGGGTCCCGAGCGCCACCTGCCAGCCGTTCACGCCCAGGACAGGCAGCCCGAGCTCCAGCGCCTCGGCCTGCTCGCCGGGAGGCTTGTTGCCCTCGGCCGGGGGCGGTCCGGATGGCAAAGACGACAAGAAAGACCCGGACGCGAGTGGCGGCGGCGGCGGCAAGGGCGCTGGGGGCGCAGCGGCCGAAGGGGGACCCGCGGGGCTGGCGCACGGCCGGATTAGCTGCGGCGGCGGGGTTAACGTGGACGTGAACCAGCACGCAGACGGCGGTCCCGGGGCCAAGGCCCTGGGCGCGGACTGCAGCGGCTCGTCGGGCTCCGGCTCAGGCTCCGGCCCCGGTGCGCCCGCCTCCTCCTCGGTGCTGGGCTCTGGGCTGGTGGCGCCAGTGTCGCCCTACAAGCCGGGCCAGACAGTGTTTCCTCTGCCTCCTGCTGGCATGACCTACCCGGGCAGCCTGGCCGGGGCCTATGCCGGCTACCCGCCTCAGTTCCTGCCTCACGGCGTGGCGCTCGACCCCACCAAGCCCGGCAGCCTGGTGGGCGCACAGCTGGCGGCGGCCGCGGCCGGCTCGCTGGGCTGCAGCAAGCCGGCTGGCTCAAGCCCGTTGGCTGGAGCGTCGCCGCCGTCCGTGATGACAGCCAGCTTGTGCCGGGACCCGTACTGCCTCAGCTACCACTGCGCCAGCCACCTGGCCGGGGCGGCAGCCGCCAGCGCCTCGTGCGCACACGACCCTGCGGCGGCGGCCGCGGCGCTCAAGTCCGGATACCCGCTGGTGTACCCCACGCACCCGCTGCACGGTGTGCACTCCTCGCTAACGGCCGCCGCTGCCGCGGGCGCCACACCACCCTCACTGGCCGGCCACCCCCTCTACCCCTATGGCTTCATGCTGCCCAACGACCCGCTCCCGCACATCTGCAACTGGGTGTCGGCCAACGGGCCGTGCGACAAGCGCTTCGCCACATCGGAAGAGCTGCTGAGCCACTTGCGGACCCACACGGCCTTCCCCGGGACAGACAAACTGTTGTCGGGCTACCCCAGCTCGTCGTCCCTGGCCAGCGCCGCCGCGGCCGCCATGGCTTGCCACATGCACATCCCCACGTCCGGCGCTCCGGGCAGCCCCGGGACGCTGGCGCTGCGCAGCCCCCACCACGCGCTGGGACTCAGCAGCCGCTACCACCCCTACTCCAAGAGCCCGCTCCCCACGCCCGGCGCGCCCGTGCCAGTGCCCGCTGCCACCGGACCCTACTACTCCCCCTACGCACTCTACGGACAGAGACTGACCACAGCCTCAGCGCTGGGGTACCAGTGAGGGCGGCCGGGAGGGCGAGCGAGTGAGCGAGTGAGCGAGGGCATGCAGCCGGGGGAGGGGCGCGAAGGCGGCCAAGGTTGCCGAACTCCCCGCGTGAGCGTGTGTGCGTGCGCGCGGGAACACCCGGGGCCCTGAGAGGCAACCCCGTGTACCGCATCCACCCACCCCACCTCGGCGACCGAGACCCGGTGGGGAACTCCTCTTCCCCCGCCTCCCACCTCCCCACTCAAACTTTATAAAAGTTGGGAAAAAAAAAAAAGGAAAAAAATCATTTGACTTTTTATAGAAAAGGAAGGAAAAAGTAATTGAGAAAGTGTTCATCTGAGGACTTCAACCGGTGGACACTGGTATTTATTTATGTTAGCTCCAAGCGGACCCGTGGTTCAAAAGTGCATTATTTAGTTTGAACTCCGTAGGTAAAAAAAAGAAAAGATAAAAAGAGGAGGAGGAGGGGACGAAATTAAAACTCGAGGGTGCAAATGTGCAAGAGAAACCCTCCCATCCCTTGTAGATTATAAATAAAAACAAACCGCCAGACTAGAGGTCTTCTCTTAAATGTTACTTTAAAATTGCTATGATTGTATCGTACGTTCTTATTTAATGTCTGATTGAAACACAAATTTACATGCATGTTTGTTACAAAAAATGAAAAAAAACCTAAACAAGTCACAATTTGTCAGCTCTGATTTCAAATTGCAATTATTTTTAAGGTGTATGCCATCGAAAGAGAATGGGTATTTTTTGGTATGTATTCTGGAAGGAAAAAAAAGGAAAAACAATTCTATTCCAAAACCTCATTTGCCTTATTTTGTTCTTTAAAAGGAACACTTAACTATTTTTAATTTTTAAGTCCACCCGCTGAGAAGGGGACAAGGTTTACGTCATGTACTAAAATAATAGACAATGTATCGCTTTAAAGATTAAAATTCCGTATATTTGATGTATTAAAAGGTTTTACTTCTCCTTTTTTTTTTTTTTAATTATTTTTTTGGTTAGAGAGAACAGAGCGGTTCCGGCAGATGTGGGTTCCCGGGCCGCCGCGGCCGCTTCCCCGGCCCGCGGCCGAATTCCCGATTGCTTTGTTGTGATTTTCCCCAGGCCCGAGGCGCCACACGGGCCGCCAGCTGCAGGGACGCAGGTTTAAAGGGGGAATTCCACGTTTTGGACGGACACTGTTCTTCGCTCTTGCTCACTCCGTTTTTATTTAAGTTTTCTCTCAGCAGCCTGTTTGTCAAAAGTGAAAGGGGTGGGGAGGAGCGGGTTGTGTGTGTGTGTATTTTTTTTTTTTTTTTTGGGTTAAATTTCCCTCTTGAGGTTTGGGGGCATTTGGGTTTCGTTTTGCGCGGAGCGCCGAGCAGGCCAGGGCTCGCCGGCCGCGCCCGGGACCCGGGGACCAACGGCCGCCCTCAGTCTCCCCTCTTGGCTTTGCAAGCAGCGCCCGTCCCGGGCGGGCAGCGGGGACAGATCTGCGGGCCGAGGGCCACCTGGGGAACCCGTTTCCGCGGCCTGGACAGCGAGCGCGCAGGAGCCCCCCGGGACCCTCGGGGACGGCGCGCTCGCTCCGCTCTCCTTTGCGCTACCGAGGGCCAGCCGCACCCTCGGGCGCCGGCCTCCCTCTGGAGCCCCGGCCGGGGCGGGCCCGCGCCGCGGCTGCTTTTCCCCATCCTGACGGCTCTGCAGCCGGCGCTCCGTCCCGGTCGGCGCCTCAGGAGAGCGCGCTGGGGCCCGGGATCCGGAAGCCCCTTCCAATGCGGGCCCCCCAGGGTCCCGGCGCCCGGGCTCTGCCTCGTGTGGCGGCCAGGTGCGCGTCCAGGGCGGTTTGGAGCTGGGAGCTCCGCTCGGCAGAAGCGCAGCAGGCGCCTGGGTCTCGGAGC